GTTTTCGTGTAGTTAGTGTATCTGACAGAAGCTGATCCAGTAAAATATTGTAAGTCATATTTTTCTACTTATATTCCAAGAGTCACTGTTCAGGCCAACGAGAGATTCAGTTTATTGTAAAGAAAAGATATTCCAAGAGTCATTTTTCACTCAGGCCAACGAGAGATTCCGTTTATTGAGAGAAGAAGAAGCTAGCATAATTTGAACGATTCGTGCATTTGAAGGAGATCATTAAGGACGATATACTTGCAATAATTTGTTGTAAGATTGCTGATTACCTAGGGAGCGGCCACGAGTAAATAATATAGTCTACAAATAACAAGGATTTGGACCACTCATCATCAGAGAGAGATAGTTTTGTTTTCTGCCGTTTTTCTTTCATTGATAACACAATTTTTACACTTAATTTAGAAAGGATATAAATATTTTGATTAGGAGATTTAGAATAATATTTGGATTTTGAGATTTCAACTAATATTGTTTGTACCATTAATTTTGAAGGTTCACGTACGTAGAACAAAATTTTGAAAATCATTACATGAGATTTGTTTATCGAAAACATTTGAGTGTGAATTTTATTTCATTATTTTATTTCAATATATAACGTTAGATCCTATATGTTTTTTTTATTATTCCAGTATTTTTTGGACCTTACCTTTCACATGTAATAGCATAGATATTGAAGCACGAATTTAACCCTGAGATAAGAGAATTAAAAAGTGTGATAGAGTCATAATCATATCATTTAAATAATTTTAATTAATTAATTAATTAATTCGCTAATTAACTGCTTGGCGCACCAAGACTTGAAATATCACAATAACTGGCTTCCAAAACGTGGGGCTTGAAAATATCGCAGCTTTACATTTGAAGGAAGGGAAAGAGATCTGAAATAAGTACAGGTGATCCAGAGATAAAAACATATTACATTGAGGGAATTTGAATTTGAAAATATTTTGACAATTTTTGTTATTGTGATATTTCAAGTCTTGGTGCGCCAAGCAATTAATTAGCGCATTAATTAATTAATTAATTAAAATTATTTAAATGATATGATTATGACTATATCACACTTTTTAATTCTCTTATCTCAGGGTTAAATTCGTGCTTCAATATCTATGCTATTACATGTGAAAGGTAAGGTCCAAAGAATACCGGAATAATAAAAAAACATATAGGATCTAACGTTATATATTGAAATAAAATAATGAAATAAAATTCACACTCAAATGTTTTCGATAAACAAATCTCATGTAATGATTCTCAAAATTTTGTTCTACGTACGTGAACCTTCAAAATTAATGGTACAAACAATATTAGTTGAAATCTCAAAATCCAAATATTATTCTAAATCTCCTAATCAAAATATTTATATCCTTTCTAAATTAAGTGTAAAAATTGTGTTATCAATGAAAGAAAAACGACAGAAAACAAAACTATCTCTCTCTGATGATGAGTGGTCCAAATCCTTGTTATTTGTAGACTATATTATTTACTCGTGGCCGCTCCCTAGGTAATCAGCAATCTTACAACAAATTATTGCAAGTATATCGTCCTTAATGATCTCCTTCAAATGCACGAATCGTTCAAATTATGCTAGCTTCTTCTTCTCTCAATAAACTGAATCTCGTTGGCCTGAACAGTGACACTTGGAATATAAGTAGAAAAATATGACTTACTGGATCAGCTTCTGTCAGATACACTAACTACACGAAAACTCACAAACTTTCACTGCTACTGCTTCCTACCTCTGGGAAACTACCCGAGAACAACGGCCGTTCGCCTTGCACCCTTGGAAACCAACTGATTATCGTTTCTCTCTCAAAAATCTAGCTAAACTTTCATTCCTACATACCTATCCCACCTTTTTCAATCTCCGCCAATCAAAGCTCGTCACAATTGCCCCATTTTTTCATTTCGGTAACAAACAAATTCTTACCTATAATTATAAAATTTCCTAAAGCTTATTTACAAATAATATTTTTCTACAATTCTTAAAAACTAACAAAAACCTCTTTCTGAAATCTATTCTATTGTCCTTTAATCACTGCATTAATGTATTTGGAAAACCCGGTTCAATTGTCTTTGGATTTCACTTAAAATTATGCGGGTCACTCAAGTATAGTATAACAAAGAAAAATAATTTATGCATAGCTTACATTTTGTTTAATACAGGTAATCCAAAAATTTAAAGACTTTCCTTCTTCGAAATGTTTGTTGGTTATTATCCTACTTATCTAAATTATTTTAATGTTTTTGAACTTTGAAGTATTTTAAACACACCAATATTTTTCTCGATTTTACATATCATAACAATATATATATATATATATATATATATATATATATATATAATATATATAATATATATATATATATATATATATATATACGTATTATACTTTTTGTTTTACATTTACTACCCAAAATATTACCTACTGGTAAAATACACAATTTTCACTCAAGGTTAAGTATTTAAGTTAAAGGCTGATCTATAAACTTTACGTTGGCGTTGACGTTCGCGTTACAATATGGTCAAATGGGAAACTCATATGTTTATTTATAAACATCGTTCGCCGTAGGCGTTGGCGTTCGGTTCCGTTCAAGATGAACCCACTTTATCTTTTGCCGTTGGCCGTTGTAGCACAGAATACATTAACCCTTCTGTAGTTGTAGTCACGATCACAGAATATAAAAAACTGTATCTTTGTCATCGTAGCCAATAGCAATACCGAGCGTAATCCATCAGAGGGATAATTTACATTTATTTTTGGTTTTTTACTATTTGCAGTAATTTTTCAAATACTGGAATCTGCATCCTGGTATATTTAAAAAACTGCTGGGTATTCCAGTTTTTCATATTTTTATAATAATTAAAATTACCTCTTGTCTTTCTGTTCTGGTTAATGGGCCTCCTTTGTATCAACGTTGTCTTTTATTTCGAAGGCTCAGTGCTGCTCGAATACAAAGTATCAGTGCCACTGCACCTAACAAAAGCCGAGCATTTTCATTTTCCATTGTATTAATTTGCAAGCAAAAAATAATAATAACAAATCAAAAATGTAAGGTTAGAAATTTAGATGTGATCTTTAACGCCAACGCCAACCGAAAGTTTATAAATACTGTCTATGATAGCCAGCGCTAAGGTCAACGGCGAACGCCAGCGCCATCGCCAACGTAGAGTTTATAAATCAGCCTTAAGTTCACCATGTGTAAAATAAAAGTACTTCAATAAGTAAATTTATTTAGGTTAACTTTAAATTTCGCTAATGAGAAGCTTCTGAGATAATCAATTATTTCGATATTTTCAAAATAACCTTAAATACCTTTTTAAAATAAGTGATTCTCTAATTATGTTAAGTAATAATCAATATATTGATTCTCTAATTATATTAAGGCCAATAATTTGACACATACCCTGATCTTGAGTGATTATTATGTTTATTTTACCTATAAGTACAGAAGTCAAATCAAATCATTTTTACCAACTTCTATTTATTTGTACAAATTTGCCTATTATTTTGAATACAGTTCTATATCCAGATACTTGGGAATTCAGCTTGTCTGGTTTTAATAGTTTTGGTTACTATTCTGATTGTATTTCGAAAATTAAGTTGAAATTGCAAAAAGTGCAGGAATGACAGTAGGCAGTGACAGTTAATGCATTAAATGTAACAAAAAGTACAGTGTGTGATGAGATATGATTTCAAAAAAGTGGTTCTTAAAAGTTTCTGCTGTACTAGACGACAAGAATCATCCAATTTGAGAGATCGTTACAGAATACTGTGGTATAATAAATAAAAAATCGGTATGATACAAATAGATGAAGGGTGCGATATGAACTCCGATCACACACTCGTTTAATTAACACTAAGCGAAAACGATGTCAGAAAAGAAAATAAACCAGCACTAATAAACAAATTTTGCCAGCTGACTGGGAAAGTACAACAATAATAAGAGAGAAAATAAAATGATAACTATCTCAAAAAGATTATAGAGAATTAGTCACAGAAAAAAGTAAGTTATTAAAGAAATGGCAACAAACTAGATTTCCTGTAGATAAAACAAGATTCAATAATCCTAGACAAAATTCGCAAGTAGAAATTAAAAAGATTAAATAAGAAGCATTAGTGCCTACCTTCGAGAATATTATGACTATAAGTACCAAACAAAAGTTTATGTAACCTCCTTGTTTATGTCTAGTGGTAGGCTTTTCGGGTGACACAAGCGCCCCTAGGAAAGCCTTAAGGATTACTTACGTAGCAAAGACCGATGGCTTTACGTGCCCTCCAAAGCACGGTAGGGGCTCAGTTAAATTAGAATTCGAAAATTTTCCGCTCCACCAATATAACCGCTGAGCTACGGCTGTCAGTGGTAAAATTACTGATTGTTCATTATGAACAAGCTCAAAGGAGCAATAGTACAAGTTCCACCAATAGCATCGGAAGAGGGAAAATGCGCAAGAAATATCTTCACTCCATATGAAAACATAGGAGAAGATACGGCATGGGGCATGCCAGTGCAGGTAAATTAAGACTGCTAGTAACAGGGAAAAAAAAATGTCTGTAATAAAACAAAATATAAACTCGAGCAAAGCTTCTGGATTTGACTTAATCCACGGAGAAATTTTATAAACACCTAAGAATGATATTATAGTCAAATTAAAAAATATGTTTAACGTACGTGCCTATGATAGAGAAAGTTGCAGATACAGTAATTATTCACAAATCAGGTGAACCACCTGATGAAGCAACCTCTACAGACCGATGTCACTGCTTGCTGTTACATCTAAATTATTTACAAAAAAACTTAAACCTGTTATGAAAAATTTTTAGAGGAAAAAAAAAGTTTTTCAATAACCTTTCTTCTTATAACCCAGTATATATATATATATATATATATATATATATATATATGTATATATATATATATATATATATATATATATATAATACTGGGGATTAATATCAGTAGTAGAATAGTTTTTATTTTTTTTTTTTGCTTCTAAAAGTTTATTGTTTTTAATACTTTATATTAAATTCAGTATGAAATTTATTTCTTTTCTGACATGTGTATTTTTAAAATCATGAAATTTTGAAAAATCTCTAGCAATTAAGTGACTTAAATGAATGTTCTTTGCCAACAATGTGTTACTTTGTCTCCGCGAAAAGCAGAGTACAGGAGTTCCAACATTCCACATCGGCTTCCAACATCACAAAAGGTTTTCTCAAAAATCTTTAACGAAGAACATCTCACGATGATCCATAATCTGCTAAGGTACATTCTTAGAAACTGATAAGTATTACATATTTATGGAAAAAGAAAGAATCATAACTCGGACGTAAAGTATACTCCAAATATTTATAGCATCGAAACTCTACCCTTAAAAAAAGTAAATACTCATTACGAATTATAAACTAGTAATTTTATTAGTGCAGTTACAAATTTTTCAAGATAAAAATATCCAACGAAATTGCTCATTAGGGAAGCCAATTGTCAATTATTTTTTGGAATATTCAAATTTTGAGTCTACTTTACGATATCGAGGGTTTAGTCGACTATATTGGATCATTTGGTTCTTTCGGTTACCACAACTTCATCCGTATGCATGGAAATATCTGTTCACATATTATAAATGTTGTAAAGGACTATTTGACACAGATTGGTACTAGCACGATAAAGTTCGTAGCCCATTTTAAATTAAATACGGGAAAATGTAAAAAAAAACGGTTCAGAAATAATTTAGACACCAAATTATTCGAGAAATGGAAACAGTTATATCTACCATTGAATAGTGCTTTATTTTAAATTTGAGTTTTTTTCCTATTTAGTTTTAACATTTTTCAGAATAATTTGGTTTTCCTTAAATGTGTACCTTAATATTTTTCTCTGAATATTTCAAAAAATCGAATATACAGGGCGTTTGTCAAACAGTACCACTTATCTCTTTAATTTACATAAAATTAAATAAGCATGTATTTTTCACATTTTCATAAAAAAAAATAAACGAAAAAATTAATAATTTACAATACACTTATTTAACAAAAATAATAATAAGAAATAAATAAATGCGTTCATACTTAAAATGCAGCGCTATTTTAAAAAGCAACTTTTATTATTGATAACTAAATACTAAACGGAATTAAGGCTGCAATAACTAAACATGTTTCGACTAGCAATACTATTTGTTCATTTAAAAACTATTCAAATTTCTAAATATCGATAGCCCAATGCAACATTGAAAGATTGAAAATAAACCTGAAATACCTATAGAGTATATCAAGGTATTAACCGATAATTGAGTAATAAGATCACCTTTTCATTGCAACCGAGGAATTTTATGTCACGTTTCTTGATTAACAAATTGAACCATCTGTCATGTTTCCAAATAGGCACCAACTATATCAGAAACCAATACAAGAATAGTTACTCAAACAACTCAAATCGCCACCCTAAGAGAGAGGTCATAACACCTTAACGAACCGTTAAGGTCTTCTGATATAAGTTATGCATAAACTGATAGACTTCTACGGTCATCAGACAATCTATAGGTTCAAAAGAGTCAAACACAATGTCAACCAATAAGGAGTACCAAATGGTAAAGATTTCTTACCTCATATTGAAAATATGACATGACAGAATTGTCAAAACTTCATATGACATCAAATCCATTTAAGTCCATCCAATAAAGTCTAAGAACGGAAAAGCTTTAAGAGAAGCATTGTTAGTGGTCTCTGTACATTGGAACCATAAAACTTGGTGTATATACTCGTTGATCAGAGGAACTGTCTTCTGTCTCTTCCGTGAGGGACTGAGTCTAGTTTTGCCACTACTCAACGCAGGACAGGCGGTGGAAAAATTTTCATGCTAAACACGGTACGTTTCATGAGACAACGTCCTATTTTCATATAAGACCGTAGGACTGATGTGAATAAGGTATAACCAAATAAACATAGGGGCTGCAGCAATCCGCCATTTCGGATGGCAGAGTTACTCACTTCAAAGGATAGTTGCTGGCAGGCATTGCAAGTAAGACTCTTAAACAATACGCGATTTTCTGGCCCAGACGTAGACTCGCCTCACACATCCTGTGTAGGACGCATCTACGCAGCGAACGAGATTATAAGCCTAGGAAATCCAAGCAAACCCAGACCAATATCTATCAAGGAATCCGTGCCAACAAGCCCCAATTTGGGTAGATCAGGGTGCATGAAGGATAAAAACAAGCGCCCAGAAGGACACACACGCACACACATCCACATACGAAAAATGAGAGAGGTGAGAGCCCCACCACAAATGACTTATATGGTGAGATTTGTGCTGCAATTACTGCGCTCCCCAATCCCTAAGTGTATGGGACAAAATGGTGTCAGTGTCATTCGTCCCAAATGCAGAAATAAAATAGACACAAGACTAAATGATATAGTTCTAAAGATGTCTCAGAAATGAGTAACTTTTCAGAGTCCACGAATAAAAATGTAGAGGGAACGAGTAGAGAATTGACCACAGTCGTGAATTCTGTATCTGTCCTATATTGGCCTATTTGACCCCAATCACGGGTACAGGTGAACATTCAGCATAGTAAGTAAGCTTCCGCAGAACTTGTTAAACGTGTTGCGAAAAGAGGGTTCGATGTTGCCTTCATGCAAGTGCCTTGAGTATACCAGAGTCAATAACAGGTCAATCGGATGTTGGCGGAAAGCTTCTATAAGCAGGTCTGCCGACGTCACGAGCGCTTGTATAGTAGTCCATGAAACATGAACAATAAACCAATTTGATACACTGTCGTCTTGGTCAATGTGGAAGATAAACCGTTGCAGAACACACCGTCACAAAAGATAGCCACCAAATTGTATTCTAAGAAACACAGTGGAATCCTATAACGTATGACCACTACAAAAAGATGTTTAAAGTGATTATTGAAATCTAAAAACATCCAATTAAGTCAAACATACCTTTTAATCGAAAATAAGCAATATTGTAAAACACTAAAACGCTTTGATGTTCCTCTTCATCAACCATATGATAATATCCCAAACAAGGTTAGTATTGTTGACATTAAAGATAATTAGACAATGATGATGTATCTACCTTTACTTAGATAAAAAATACTCAGTTTATAACTATTGGTCGACCACAGGACTTAAATTTTTTTTTTGATGTTTCCGAACCCTTTATACACTAAGGGTGGAGCTGGTCTACGTGAACTCAGCGTCGTGATTGTTTGACTATTAGATATTATGAGAATCTCTTGTCAGCGATATTCTCATTGATGAAAATAAATGCTAACTCAGCTCAAAATAATCAAATGAGTAAAATAAATTGAGTGCTAAAATAAATTCTTCACTAGTACCTACGAATTCAGATGAACGATGCCAAAATTTCTACTGAATCTAAAAATCGCAACTCCAAGACTTAAACTCCAGTTTAAATAACAGCATACATATTTTCAAATATATGAGAAACATGGATAGAGCTAACTAGATATTAAAAAATATCTTTTGAAATTTGATAAATACCGCAGTGTAACAATAAGAAATACCGGATTTCGAAACGCAACGAATTTTACACAAATTATAGCAGCTGCCAAATTACTTATTCACTCTATTTTTAACGTCCAAAATAAAATAATTGTAATTTACCTGAATGGTCATGATCATACTGTTTTGTTCTACTGAGCAGCTAAGGGCATTTGACGTTAGATTGCGAGAATAGTAGTTTTACACAGTTTACAATTGTAAGATAGACACAAGGTAGATTCTTTAGTTGACATAAGAGTATAGGTTGGGTAAGGTTAGGAAATTTCGCACAAACCGTTGTAGGGAGATTATTCTGTTCCTGATTGGGCTAGACGATACCCCAATTGATAAATTGATAATTGGGAATCGTTATTGTTAGTGATGCTGTACAAGTTGGTGCCGTCAAGTTTCATTTTGTATGTTATTATAAATAGTGTTTGGAGCGATTAGAGAATATCATGACAGAAGAAAGTTGTTTGAATGTTTTAGAGGACCGTATTGTTCCACTATTAGCGGCCGTACTAAAGGAACATACCACACATGCTAACATAACCATGCCCCATCTCACGAATATTATCGAGAAAATAATTTTTTAGGAGAAAATTGTATCGAAAATAAATATTTAATAAAATCATAATACATAAATACTCATTTTCTATTTTACAACTACGCTAAAAAGGATGAATAAGTAATTTAGCTGGTACATTTATATTTCTCGTATATTTTTAATTTTAATGATATCTGGTTAAATTTGATAATGAAAATCTACAATCATTGACTCTTAATTCTGTTTAATCTTGACTTGTACCCGTATTGTAACTTTAGGACTACATACATTTATACATAGTTATATTAAAACTCTAAATGTCCTCTTATTGCATTGGTATATCGAAACATAGTTATTACGCATCTTACAGCTGCAAATAACTAAGTATTTTAAAAGTTTAATACAATTGGCATGATTTTATTGTCGCTACCTTTTGACTTGCATCTTATCATTTTCGTGAATAGTACTCCATTCAACTACTAGCTGGCCAGATATAAATTTTAGAAACCAATTTACTTCAAACTATTTCGGTGGAATTATAGAGGAGCTTAAGTCGTTGACTAAGAAGTTATATACAAAATTAGATTTTCCTCTCGACGCTTGAGGTTTAGAATTGCGAATTTGATCTCGGAGAAGAATGTCTCCAAATAGAGAAGCAAGCGTTTTGGCATCATAGCCATTTTCGTTCTGATATTTGAGAAGTTCTTGGAGAAACATGCAAACATACAGAAACACATTGCGGTGAAGGTCGGAAACTTTTTGAAATATAATCTGTAAAGAGAAATAAGTATTATTAGTAAATATTAAATTTTAATAAAAAAATATTAAAAAATAATTAAACGCACTCTCCACAGTATTATTTGGATTAAAACGTCGGGTACTCATATTAAAATCATAAAAAAATCATTAAAATTCTGTCTAGAAGATGTTAACATAATAGCTGTTGGATTATTCGTTGTTAAATAGTTTATACCCAATAAAAAGGTTTTTAATTTTTTAAATTTCACCGAACTATTTTGGATGAAGTTTAAAGATCGAAAATTTTGGTAAGAAATATTGTAGTTGCAGTTTAAAAGTTAAAAGATAAATATAGTTTAAATGGATAAGGGAAATATATGATGTCATTTATGTCAGATTTAAAACTGAGACCGTTAGGAGTGAAAAGTTTATATTAGGTCTGACAACGCCCCCTAAAAAACCTGTTTGTCCTCTCACCACCCTTTAAAATTGATGTATAGTAGCATATAAACATACACCATTCAAATATTAAAACATTAAAAAATAATAATAAAGTACAATAAACAGAAATTCAGAATTCAACGTAGACCAGTTATTTCCTTTCTTCTTCTATATGTTGATGTAACTTTCTGCGAGCTTTAGACTTTTGAAATTTCCCTTGAACGTTAAATCTTCTCGGTCTCTTATACCCATTAGGCTAGCACTCATTTTAATATTCTCTTATATTCTATGCGATTGCATGGCCAAGTCACTCTATGAATGTATTTCTTTTTAGTATTATGTATTATCATCATCAACAACTATTTCATCCATCGTTGGATGTAAGCCTCCCTAAGTGTATTCATTTCTGTTTGTTGATTTTTGCATCCATTCGTGACCAGCCACTCGCTTGTTGTCATCGTCCATTTAGTTTCTCTACTTCTCTTGTTTATTCTTGGTCGTCATTCAATAATTTGCTTCGTTAATTGTGTATGCCATTTGCTATCTTGTTAAGATATCAGTTTAAATAATGTTTGAACTTTCTTTGGGTATAAATGGCCGTATTTTGTATGTGTCGAAGCTACAGGTCTTGGGCTTGAACAGGTTATCCGATATTTTTCTATATTTTCATGTACTTGGTTTTTAATCTGATGAGCAACAGCGCAGTAACAGTAGTTTCCTTTTTAACATCAATAATACTGCTGTACTATATTTTTGGTTCATTTTGGTAGTTTCAAAAGTTGTTAGTAATAGTTGGAAAGCTGATAACTAGTAGTTGCTCCAATTATGTATTTGGATCAAGTTATTGTTATTATTGGCGAATATCAAATTAATAAAAAACTAAAAAAGAATAATAAATTGAAGGTAATTTTTTTACCTGACGACAATTTTGGTAATTACTAGCTGCAGCGATGCAAGTGTCATGTAGTTCGAAGGGTATCACAGGATCCTTGGTGTATGATAAAAAGAGCAATAGAGTCTCAGCAGCAGCCTGGACAGTGCCAGCTATATGAAAATAGTTAAGAAAAACATTTTTTATTATGCATATTAGCGAAGTATACTTATATGATAATTATACAGTGGTCTCTAAGTTAGTAATTTACTAATGAATAAAATAAATTTTTTAACTTAACTCGAAGAAAAAAAATGTAATTAATTAAAAAGCTTTCCTAAAGCTAATATCCTTTATTTCATATTCTATCGTTTCTAAAAAAATTACAATATTTTTCTCCCAATATCGTCCTTTAAATGCAACAATATGAACAGTGAACTATAATTTACCTAACACCATAGCTAAAGATTTTGTTAATATATTAATAAGTAATAGTAAATAGATTTACTTTTAAACTGTACTACAGTTTGAAGGCAAAATGACCCAAAGAAAAAGTCTTCGTGAGTATATATTTCTAAAACTTTGGTGTGGCGATTAATTTCTTAACTATACTAATGCCTATTAACATTTCTAGTGTCATTGTTACATTCGTCGTTCTTTAAATCCAATTCAATGGTTCAATGGTTTAAGATTAAAATTATGTATATTAAAAAGGATACGGAATGGATCTAAGGAACCAAAATCTAACCAGTCTCTTATTCTAATAATTTCTTCATGCAGAGCGCTAGATTCGAACAATTCTTTAGTCTTCATTCCATGTCGATAAATATAGTCTATTAGCAACCATAATTCTCGCGGAACTGAATATAATACTCCAGATTCTCCACTTTCCTAAAAAAAGAATTTAAGTTTAAAACAAAAAATAAATATTCCCAGCGTCGCTCTGAAAGACTTCTTTAAGCTTGGGTATACAGTTTACTTATCGTTATCAATATTAACTTCATCTTCCCGCGTTAGAGGTCGCTAAAAGCATACTGTGGTAATTATATCTTATAATTGCCATACCTGCCGGTGCGTTTGGATTTGGTGTTAGTCTTTTTACAAGCCTCCCTGATGACGGGTAGATCTAGAAACACGTGTAAAAGAATGGTAAGAGAATCAAATTAACTCCAAACGCAACCGTCTACATGTATATATTTAAATTAACAGTCAATAATACCACCATCTTATATAATAAAATACTTTATTGTTAAAAAAAAGAGGTTAGTCTTTGTAAATGGGTATATTTATTTAAAAAACCCTTAAAAGGGCTACATCAATAAAAAAACGTTTTCGGATCACACAGTCCATCATCAGGTTTTAAAATCGAAAAATGCCTAAAAATAAGTATAAACCATTTAGTTAAAACAAACAAGATTATGAAATTTTGACTATGGTTGAAAAGCAAAAGATGGTTATACTTACTAGGTCACAATGCCTGAGCCACCAAAATACTAGGATAAAAACCCTTTAAAAATTTAGTTATAAAAGATTGTACATTGTGTTGTAAAATAACTGTGATGTTCAGTATTAAATTAAATTTGACTAGAGGTAACACATGGCTGAATCGAGTTCCAGAGCCGATGAGAGAGAACCTCTACACGCAGAGAACAGCTGGGAACTGATTGACAAGATACTTATGAAGGATGACGAAAACAGAATGTCAATGCAACAAAAACTATATTAGTTGTACATAGTATTACTACAGCCAAAAGATTCAACAAGTTTTGATGATTTTAAAAAATAACAACAATCTAGGTGTTGGGGTTTAAAAAACTTTTTTATTTATTAATTTAGGGTATAAAAGATGTGAAATCAATGATGGTTTTATAGTCATGATTAATAGAATGACCTGTGCCTTAGGCAACTTATGTTGCTTTTTGTCGTATGGAATGTGGTCTAAAGTGTATTTAATGTTGGGTTAGCTTATATATATGAAAATTATCCTTTTATGTTTAACACATCTAGGACAAGGTAAAAATTAAATAACAAATATTTGAAGCTAATATCAGACCTCATATTTAAATGACTTTATTTAAGACTGCTCCTGTATTTTGGTGGCTCAGGCATTGTGACCTAGTAAGTATAACCATCTTTTGCTTTTCAACCATAGTCAAAATTTCATAATCTCGTTTGTTTTAACTAAATGGTTTATACTTATTTTTAGGCATTTTTCGATTTTAAAACCTGATGATGGACTGTGTGGTCCGAAAACGTTTGTTTTATTGATGTAGCCCTTGGGTTTTTTAAATAAATATACCCATTTACAAAGACTAACCTCTTTTTGTTATACGTGGTATACAGCCAGCTACAGGAGTTTTTCCTTGTGGATTTTACTTTATTGTTATTCAGACGTTTCGTCGAATTGTTATTACCAATAAACATTTTATTATTTATATCTTATACTACATCTTGTCTCTCTACTGTCGTCCGTCCTTATGAAGTATTGGACGCTCTTGCGTTTCTTAGCCACAAGTAAAAGATGGCTGATTGGCAAGATCAGAGCATCCTTTTCTGTTTTAGTCCTTCAGTTATTATTCGGTCTTCCTCTTCTTCATCTTCCTACAGGTCGATATTCGAGTGCCTGTCTGGTTATATTATTTTGGTCTTTCCTTATTGTATGTCCACTCCATTTCCTTCTTTTAATCGTCGCTGTTATTTTTTCTTGTTTTGTTTTTCTCCATAGTTCTGCGTCATACAATAATATACTCTTAACGTAACTGTTAAATATTTTGATTTTGGTTAACTCTGATATGTCGCGTGTGTTCCAGATTTCCTTTTAAGAAGTTATATGCAAGTTGTGCCTTTACTATTCTTTTTTCTACATCTGATCTACTACCACCTTTTTTCCATGATAAATATGTGTAAAGTTATATACTTCCTCTATTTGACTTCCATTTATTTTAATTTTGATTTCTTAGCTCATATTTTTTAAGAGTTTCGTTTTTTTTCTGTATTTATCTTAAGGTCCATTACATTCAAGTATTTTGTAAGCTTGTCGATGCTTTGCAAGCTTCTTATGCATATGGTTGATATGTTCGGTTATTATTAGTATTTAAAACTAAAGTAATAGAGAAACAGGCGATTTCTTCAAACAAAAAATACTATTAATTATGTCTATGCAATTATAGTTGTGAACTTTGCCAGTGTCGTAGTAAATGTATTTACAATTTATTAATTAAATTATAATATACATTGAAGAGGTCTTTGATGTAGTTTTTAATTATTACCAATATATTTTCTACCACAACATGAAAAAATATTCAATCTGTATAAATAATAAAACCGATATCATAGACTACATTCATTTAATTAATTAATTGTAAAATATCGTCTAAGTTATAACAAATAAAACATTTAATGATAAGGGCAATCCGCCGAAAGCGTTGAACAGCAATAAAGCGTTTTAGTAATACCTGAACGATAAAATAATTCAGTCAAAAATATTATTAAAACATCATTTTCATGAAATAATAAACCACCACGATCCACAATATATATATATATATATATATATATATATATATATATATATATATATATATATATATATATATATATATATATATATATATATTTATCGAAAGGAGTACGACCGTCTAAATTTAAATACACAATGTGAGTGAGATTAAAATCTCACTGTAAATGAGGATATCGGCCAAGGAGAAATAAAAAATGAAAAAACTATTTCAATCTTTTAATAGAAAACGTTCGTGCAGTATTTCTGCACTACTTAAGTTCTAATGATTGTCAAGTCATATATAGATGTCAAACAATGTCAAATGCATATGTTGCGATGTTATAAAATACATTAAATAATTATAATAAAAGATGTTACAATGTCACAATAAGTTAACAAGAACAGTATAATATACCACAACACTTCTATTCTATCGCTGTTATAAAACATCTCGAAACATGAAGCCAGGAGAAAAGTACCTTGTTTTTATTGAGCTCAGTGAACAATCTGAAAAAACTATTTTTATTGGAAAAAAGCATGGAAGTTAACTTTATTGTTAGATACACCAAAGTAATTAAAAGAAAAAAAGGAACTATTTTTGATAGATAGGGATCTACTATTCCGAAAAGACAAACAAAAAATAAAATGGCTTTGGAAATCAGTCTCTGTACGACAAATTACCTGATGACAAAATTACTTATTTACAGGAGAGAATAGAAAAGTAAATTTGTTTAAAATCTAATTATAAGAGGGTTGGTAATAAATGTAACAATGACCATTGCTGGGGAACTTAGAATTCGTAAATATAAATGAATTATAATGTGATATGAATTTGTTAAACTCACCATGTGGTTCCTTTTGGAAAGGATTTTACTTCGAAATGTGATGTATGAAGATTGCTAAAGTTCTCGTTGAAATGAATATAGAGATATAAATTGGAAGTATCAAGGTAGAATCGATGGTAGCTGTTTTTTCCTAGAGGACAAAAACTGAAAAATTTAGGCCATGTCTTGATCGGATTTATGTGTACCCAAGTTAAATTGTAAAATGTAACAAAAACTAGAAAGATTTTAAGGATTATTCAACAACAAGGAGTGATAAATGACGCTGAGATTACAATATCAGTACGTCTGTTCATGGAGTTTTTTTCCCTTAATATGTGGCACATTTCCAGGAAGGATCTCTTATAGAAATTATTCTCAGTTCCTAGAGACTTAATATTCTCAAAGTCAATTTGGTGGTTAAGAGAGATAGAGTGGGTACTGAGAGCACAAGGGTTCTTGTTGCATCTGATATCACTTTTATGGGATATAACACGCCCTTTAAGGGTTCTTGTAGTTTGACCAATATTGACAGTCTTTGCATGGAATGTTATATACTACATTTGATTTCTCTCAAATATCTAAAGGTCTTTTGGTACGTGAAAAGAGATTTCCAACTGTTTTACAATTTTTAATGCCTATTTTAGCAAATAGGGGTTTAAACAATTTGGTAAGTTTCTCTGTAACCTGCGGGAAATAGGATAATGAGCAATATCTAGGAGAAGACTCAGATGTGGAAACCTCATCAAGGTGGAGTTCATTGTTGTCAAGTATGTTATTATACAAATCTCCCACATTGGTATAAGTCGGATCAAGTAAGGACCTTGCAGTAGAAAAAAGAAAAAATCTATTAATAAGAAAAGTTGGATAAGAATTCTCAACTAATATGGTTTTGATTAACTGAGTGGCTTCCTTTCTGTATAAAGGATGTTACAACTTATGAGTTCTTAAGGCTAGTCCCTGTACGAGGTTGTGTTTGAATCTTTTAGGATGAAAGGAATAATAATTAAGGAAGCGATTGCTACCAATGCTCTTTCTAAACCATTTGGTTCTTAGGATGTTGTCAACACCTCGTACAATTAACATGTCAAGGAACGGAATGGTGTTATTTACCTCCATCTCGCATGTGAACTGCAAGTGTGGATTGTATTCATTGAAGACAGAAAGAGTGTGAGTAATTTGATCAGTGGGTACGGCCAGGATCAAGTCGTCAACATACCTTTTGACAAAAGGAATGTTGTAATCTAAGTGACTGAGCCTATCTACAATAAGGTCATCCAAGACGAAACCAACCAAAAGGGGAGAAATAGAAGATCCCATAGGGGTTCTAAAAATCGGTAGGTAAAATCTATCATTGTACACCAAATAGTTGGTTTCAAACACCAACTTGACGAGATCCACGAAAGTTTCCCATCCAAAGGGACAGTGGGGTTGGATTTGATTCCAGTGATCATGTAAAGAGGTAAGGACAACAGGTAAAGGTAAGTTGGTAAAGAGAGACACTACTTCGAAACTTACTACTTGGAAACCTACTGGTAGTTGGAAGTTGTTGATAAAATCACTAAACTTGA